TAACGGCCAGGTCTTCATAGCAAACACAGACTGGAATACAATTGTTTACAACGTACTTACACCAGCCATTACAGCAAGATATGTGCAAATTTACCCAACAAAGGAATATTACTCGTCTGGCTACCTGGCCTTGAGGATGGAGCTTTACGAATGTAAAGGAGATGAAGGTTTGAACACACAATATGTCGATCTCAGCATATGGCTAAAGAGGTGCTTTAAGGCGAGCGCAGAGCGCAACAGAGTGACTGTATGAGCTCCGTACAGTAAAAAACTTCAATACAAAGCAATCAAGTTTAGAAATTGTCATTTTGCAGCGCAGCTTTAGGGAAGCAACGGTGGCCTGTCATCTCTGTGGACCCTGCTGATCGAAAATGGAGTTAATGTTTACTACATACTATCTCACTGTATAAATCTGAGTTATTATTTCGCATCATTTAACGCAATCAATGCCTCTTTTTCGTTCGTGAAATCGCCATTTGCCATTTTATCCGACAACCTTAAACTTTTTTGAAGAATAGGTATATGTTAAAGCCATTCTTTTGTATCCTAGCATTATGTTCATGTGTAATGCAAGTAATAACATAAGAATGTTTTCCTCTCTTCACCAGGGGTGTGCTCGTATGCACTTGGGATGGAAAGTAGAATGATTAAAGACAAACAGATTACAGCTTCAACTACATACTCAAAGTATTCACCATCATGGGGAAGACTGAACTCTGGAAACGGGGGATGGTGGGCTGTTGGTGGCGACAAAAACCCATGGCTTCAGATCGATTTGCTTGAGATAAAAATGATTAACGGAATTGCCACACAGGGAAACTGGAACCACTTTGCGAAAGAATACCATCTTGAATACAGAAATGCCACTAAAAATGACCTCATTAAGTACACAACGAACAAAGTGAAAGTATTCCAAGCAAATTCTGACGGTTCCAGCATTGTCTACAATGCCATTGATCCTCCAATAATCGCCCAGATAGTTCGTATTGTACCAAAGTATGAAGATCATATGACTATGAGGGCTGAGCTATATGGATGTCCATATATGGGATCCTATGATGGATCAAAGTAGCACGTGATCAAAACTGTGAATACAGTCGATGTCAGCATCGCGCATGCTCGTATCACGAAATTACCAGATTAAAGCAACCAGACATTAAGAACGTGGATGAGCGTCTTTTAATCTCCTTGGTCATCTTTGACTAGGTCTACAATTAACTGAACTTTGAGCTGGACATTACATCATTCTTGTATACATTATATTTCTCTAAAGTTGTAAGGTTCTGGAAAACACGACTACTTCTGAAAACACTTAATGACAATTACTTTTTTGGAGATTCCTCGATCCATGTGCAAAACACTTCGATAAGTATACTTTAAGCATCAGTGGACTAAAAAATTTTAAATTAGGCAGACATGCATGGTACGTTGCTACTCTAAATCTGTATCTGTTGTTTACATAACATTTTAGGTCGAACTTATTTGAATCTCACGGAATTTTCCATATTTTTAATAGGCGCTTTTAGAGCGTTGAGTCGGGCTAGCTACTTTTGAAAATTGAGAAAAACAGGATATTACATGGTAGTGTAGTTGCGCTGATACGCGAACGAGTGAAAGATTTCAACACAAGAAGATTCTTATTTCCAAGCAAATGTGTAACTGATTCTGTCTTGATATGGTTATTGTATGAAAGTAAATTGTGACGTAGAATAACTTTTTTTCTTCTAATAATGTGGTAGCAAGAATGCATTACCACTTTTTAGTAATGAATTAATGTACTGTTCAAAATTCTAAATGTTTGTTCACGCAGCGCCAGATATTCTTTTCTGATGACTTGGCGCAACGACGTCAAAAACACTAGAAATATCGAACCAGGAGTATTTCTGTCTGGCTAGCCTGACTTCACGCTCTAAGAGAGTCTAGTTCTAGAAGGCACAAATCTAAATGCAACTCCAGAATTCAAGAGTGAGAGTTCATTAGAACAATTCGTCCGCATCAATAAACCACTGGGTTAATCTAAATATAATGCTCTAGGAAATGTGGTTCATTCTGTATTTTGAACATCATTCTTTAGTTGAAAGAGTTGTTTTTCATATCAATTGGCAAATTTAACAATATTTAATACAAGCAATAAATTTTAAATGTAGTAAATCCCATGAAAAATTGTTGTTTGATAAAAAAGGCGAACGGCGATGATTTCATTACCGAAAGTAGCCATGGGGTTTGCTTATGTAAGGGGAATAACAGCTTTATACAGTAAGATAGTCTGTGGTAAAAATTTGGCTCCATTTAGTCCCCATGTTCTATGCAAGGTGAGTCCAATTAACAATGCAAAGCGTAACCATAATCATCCCTTTCAACAAAACGCTACTTGTATATGGCACTAGCATGATAGAGAGTTTTTACTGCAAACGTCAAATTGGCAAGTTTATGTTTTATCTCGAAATTTCAAACAAACGTCAAAACGCTTCGACAGGAATAGTGATACACTTATGTACGAAAGAAGAGATCCAGTCTATTTTATACACAATCGCGAAAGAACAGAGCGTTAACACAGAAAAACAGTGATCAAGTGATCAATTTTGACGTTTGGCTTCGTCGTTAACACATATCTACCCTGGGAACCAGAAGCTGGATTTACTCGTTCTTGTAGTTTATATACTGCGCGAAGCGCCGTCCTTGAGGCCGAATATAAACTACAAGAACGAGTAAATCCAGCCTCTGGTTCCCAGGGTAACACATATCTAAAACTCACCAATAATTATTATATATTGATAATGTCTTCGCATCGAGACGTTTGCGGTGTATTCAGTCTCATCACTGAATGATCATATAGAAATAAAGAAAAGGTCATTCCGGGAGAAAAACACTTCAATCAAAATAAATTCAGAAAAACATATCGTTGTTTTGTTTTAAATTAATTTTCCGAATCTTTGGCGAGCAAGTTAAGTCATCACCGCCACGTTGAATGAAAATCAAAAAGCATTCCTCATTAGTTTCTCTTCCATTCATCCAACATGTCGGCGATAGCTTTGTTCGTTATTTCTCAGGGGATTCCTGGTTGTGTGGGTTAGGGAGGGAGGGTTGTGTGGGTAAACATTCTCCCGGAATAAGCTCCTTCTATAACTTTCCTTTATTTCTATATCATGTACTATCTTTTAGTGTCATGCGTCCTCATCATATCATCACTGAATCGGACAATTAGAATTTTGATGATAAGAGTAGTACTGAAGGACAACGAGTATCACCATGCAGATAGCAGCGGAGAAAGTTATCTGCATTCTCCGAAAATCATTTGTGGAAGTGGGAAAAAGAAATTATACCCGCTATGTCAGAAGTACAGTTATGTACTTCTACGCTATGTACTATTTGAGAGAGGGATCGAAAAAATCCTAGCCAAATCACTCGGCACCCCCTATAAATCTGTCTCTAATTTCTGGACAGACAAGGCATTATTGACATGACTTCTTGAATCGTCTAGCTTATCCATCAGTCTGATCAGTCATATAATAATCAAGTAATCACGTATAGTGTTCACTTGTATGTGATGTACATTAACCCCCTCAGGGCAATCCCCATGAATGTAATCCGTTTAATTGTCCCATCTCAAAAGAGAATGATTCGTGTCTATGTATACTCGTGTATATACCATTTTGCTTGTTTTTTGTAGTTTGTGTGACTCGAGCCTGAGTTCATGCATTATTGGTATGATAAGTCCGCAGCACGTACGTAAAGTCAGGCACGCAAACCTAAGATCTAAGAGCACAAGTACACCAGACCCCTGTAGTTTAGAGGAGTAACCAACGCAAAAAAAAAAAATAGAAATCAAGAAAAAAAAGGGAGAACTTAGGGAGAGACTGAGAGTAGAGAGGGGGGAGAAAGAGAGAGAGAGAGAAAAGAACAAGAAGAATTTGTTGGATATAAACCAACCAAGTAGGTTTTCAGTCCTTTTTACTCGCTCGACGTTTCGACGCCGTAAACGAGCAAATACTAAATGACTGCTGAAACTCCTACTTGCGTTGTTTGCCTACTATAAGTACAACAAAGACCAAGAAAACAAGGAGAAAATATTGCGAAACAAGCAAAAAAAAATCAAACAAAAAACTCTGCAGAGCAGATGAAAATAAATAGTGTCATTTACTATTTACGCTTTTTTGCCATTTAGTTCTAAAATAGGATCTACACGGCGTATCTGATAAGATCGTATAATCTTGATATTCCTTCCAGTTAAACAAGGTAAAAGGGCCTGGGAACAAGGATATTTCCTTAACTTGTTTGCCTCTTATTTGTCCTCTTCGTGCTACTTTTTTCCTTCCTTCTTGTTCTATTTCCTTTCTCCCTTTCTTTCTTCCTTCCTGTTCAAGGCTTCCTTCGAAGCTGACCCCCTATAGTTTTTGTCCCTCTGTCTCGCAAATAGGTCAATATACTGATTGTCCAGTATTTTTGTCTTTTTATTTTTTTTCTTCCTTTTCTAAATAATCGTTTTCTTCTGTCAGTCCTATAGTTCATATAGTTCCCTCTTCACGACTTCCGGATTTTGTATAATTCGGCACGTGTTCAACTGGTGAAAATACTACGGCTCATGCGCAGTATCAAATTAGTGACATGATTTGCATGTTAGTAAAGGTAGTTTCGGTGAAGACACGTTACGTATACACTTGACATATGCTGAACTAAATCGTAGGATTCCTTTCTCCCAAATTGCTGGATCCCTGGTTGCTTTTATGATACCTCTCAATTAGGTGTAATTTTAGTAAATTGAGCAATTGAAAGGCTGCTTATTCGATCGAATACGTTCGCTTACTCGTTCATGGAATTGTGGAAGGCGAGACTAGTCACATCATTCTATGGTAAGGAAGCAAATTTATTGTAAATACATTTAATTTATAAACTTTACTGAATGATTTTGGTATTAAAAAGAATGGAAAAAGGCTATAAGCTAGATAAAAAAGTCTACTGATGGAGAAGAATTAAGTGATAGGCAATGTTTGAATCGAAACGTAGTGTTTACATTTTGTCAGCACTCGGGTATTACWACTTACACAACAAGTACGCATAGCGTGGTTCAAACATACCAGCAYAAATTCGGTGTTATTTGCGTACTTCTCAGGCTTATTACTTCCTAAAACTTAATATATCTACAATTTTATTCCATTTTTATGCCTTTTATACATGCTTGTTAGAAATAAAATAGTGAAACGAAGATTGAGATATTTTTGCTTGTCAAACAAATTCCTCTTGTGTCATTCGTCATGTGATGAATGAATTACCATTGTTTTGTCGTAACATGTGTACTATTTTACATTCCACGCTCCACAAGAAAGGAAAAATAGCTTACTTTCTTTTTATTGTTCTTTATTTACGAATGAAAGATTTGGTTTTATCGAACATTTGAATTCATATCGAAACTATCGAAACTATAAGCTTAAAAACTCGATCCTCAGCTCTGCACAAGTTCTCATGTTAGATTCACAAGTTTATTGTATTGTAAAAAAATCGTATATGCAAGATCTATCGCATGTAAGAAGCATGTTGACTCATTACATTCATAAATAAGTAAGATTACTTATAGAGATCGAGGGATATCCCAATGAATTCCATGTTAATGTTTGCACATTCTTGAAAAAAGCTCAAAAATTACATCATCTAAAATTTTTCTATTATATAAACCATTGCGTAGATTGTGCAATAAACTGATATCGTTTGTATTTCAGCATTGAGGTTAGATAAATCACCTTAAATCACCTCCATAAAGTCAAAATCACATATTTTAAAGACATGCAGAATTGCTTGTCAAATATTGGATTACACAATATGACTGTACTTTGACCTGAACTTTCATTGCTTGAACACGTTCTGTATTTTCACGTTTTGAATGCTTCGTCAAAAGATCATTTCAATTTCCTTTGTTTGATGGTAAACTAAAGTAGCATTGTTTTTACAGATGCTTTGAGTGGATGCTACAGTATTTTCTTTTGTTTTTGTCTTTTTTACATGTTTTTTTGGGGGGTAGGGGGTGGGGGTGGAAGCAGAGGAGCTGAAACAAAGGGGTAAACAACAATTTTAGCCGTGGTGGCATTTATTGACTTTAAAATGAATGTTTAAAATGGGTACACGATAGTATTTTAGATCTGAGTTTTAGGCTGTTTCAGATGCAATCCAGAAATATCCAGCATGTTTTAAGAACCTCGGTTTTGTAACATGTAAAAAGTTCTTTTGTTTTCCTGGAGCATCATCTTTAATTCCCTTTTGCATTTATAGTCACCTTTAGATGGTGGATAGTTTGATGACTATGTACCAAAGAGCGCATACAAGGCTCCRGGAAAACAATGGATAATCTTGATGTATTCTTTTATTTCCCCGAAGCCTCGTCTGCAATTCGTTCGTACATGGTCACTGAACCAAAAGATCTAAAGTCKGCTATTCAACCAGAATACTGTATCTGAAATGGTCTATTCTAAAGAACCCTTGAAACCAAAAGGAGCTATTGTACCATGTTAGGCTAAATTAAAAAAATAATCAGGTTCTCATTTGTGGGCTTATTATTGTGTGTTAGGGGGATTGTGATATTAATTGCCAGATATATGTAATCTAGTCATTAAAACATTGATGTTGTGTTTGTTTTTAGTGTTACTATTACTCATGATTATTGGAGGTTCCTCGGCATCCCAGCAGGTCAATGTTACACATTATTCATCAGGTACAATATGTTTATTGTTACAGTAGTATTTTAGTATAAATTTAATGAAATTATAATAAAGGAATGGCCAATTATTAATATGGTAAGTTGTAGTTGTTTAGACCTGTGGAAGTTTCATAAGGGACTTTTACAGCACAGCAGGTGAAAGTTTGGCCACTGTTATGCATTTGCATATTTTTGTCTTGCTTATTAACCAATCACTGGTTTGTATCTTGACTTGTCATTCAGTGACTTGTATCTTATCTTGTCTGTGATCAAGAATGCTAATTGGATACATAGCAAGACAGAAGTACCCAAATAAGCTTGCAGTCTACCATGACTCTGTCATTGTAATTGTTTGTAATTTGAAAGCGCTTAGAGCAGATTTGTATAAGCGCTGTATAAAAATAAAATTATTATATTATTAATTATTATTATTATATCATCATATAGGCAATACTTTTACTTGCTGCACTGTAAACGTAAATAATATTTAAATACTTTAAAATTCATATGAGCAGAGCAAATGAAAATGTCTTGAAAAGTTTAGCTCAGCTACTAGGAGATAAATAAAAAAAAATTATTTATCTTTTACTTGTATTGCATAAGTGTTTGTTACACATGTGAATCGGCCAGCTTTAATGAGAAGGAAGGTTACATGTACATTTGGAACAGAATTATTTTATTTATTGAAGTTATATTTTTAAAGTAATTTAACTTGTATGAAAATTATTTCCAGCAGCTGAATGCTATAAAGTCATAAATAGCTCATTGGAATATTTATACTCTCCTGACTATCCAAATGCTGCGCCATTCAGCAGTAAATGCACTTGGGAACTGCATGCAACTCCTGGAAAATATGTTGCAATTCAGACTATCGATATGAACGTTGGTGGTACAGATTGGGACTGTACATTGGGATATCTAGAGATATTTGATGGCTGTGGAGACAACAAATTCTTGGTTGACAAGATTTGTTTTTCGCGATATCAAAATGGTCAGCGTTACCTGTGGGTGTCAACTGGAACTTGTGTAACAGTACAGTTTAATTCTGCTGCTGGAAAAAAGAATAAGTTCAACCTTGTCGCAAGGCACACTTCATGTAAGTTCAATGTAGTATTTTTAGCATTTTTCATTATGATTTATATGTCATTTGTCTTCCCTAAATTCCCAAAAAGATGGGTGTCTGTTTTGGGAGCTATATCAGCCAACCTCGGAGATGGCTTCCTTTGAATTTTCTAAATTCATTTTAGTTTGGTGTTTGCAAAATGAATAATCAAAGCACTCCAATGGTATTATATGCTTGAGTATTACCTTACACAAAATATCAAGTACCAGTAATTGAGTATATAAAAAAATGTCTTGGTGTAGGTTAGGTTAGGTTTGATATTCTATAATGTATTCATTTTCTCTTAAAACAGCATCTTGTAATGCTGTCTTCCATGGGAGTCCAAATGGTACTTTTTCCAGATCAGTCTCCTTGCCGTCAGAGAAGAAAGAGTGCACTTGGGTAGTAGCAGTTCCCAGAAATAAAGTGGAACTCAAATTTCCAAAAGATTTTCACATCACAGGAAATAGCCTTGCTTGTAAAGATAATCTTTTAACTGTTCAAGATGGGAAATTTAGGTGGGTAATCTCAAGTACAATGAATTTACACTGAGTAAAAAAAATTGTTGCAGAAATTTAATTCATCTACATGTAGTCTAGCTTTGCCAAATAATTGTTCCAAAGTTGTAACATGCTGGACAAGTTTGACGTTCAAACTTGGATGTTACTCAAAACTTTGTAGTGTCCCTTAAACTGCATTATCAACATCTAGTTGTTTTTTCGGATCACAGTGTAACACCCTAGATTTGACTACTCTTATTATTGTAAAAAACTGTAACTTTATATATTAATAATATAATAATAGATATTGAATTGAAATGAGCTGCACTTTTATTATTACAGTACTTGTACAGGTGTAGTTCGGTGGATACTAAATAATACACACTTTTTTACAGTTTTATGAAAATATGTCTAATGTATAAGATAATAAAACACATTCAATTTGTATATTATAGTTTTCTATTTTTATGTACCTATTAGAGTCATTGTAATAATTACTAAAATGTAACATTTTTACTTCTTAATTTAATTTAACAGCTCATCCAAGGTAATTGGTACATTTTGCGGCCATACTCGTCCGTATCCTGTTTACTCAACACTGAATAGTATGAGAATAACATTTAAGAGTAACGGTAACCTTGGTGATGCCAATACCTTTACTGCTCAATATACAATGATCCAGAAGGAACCAGCAATCAGAACAAGTATGCATATAATCTCAATATTAATTGTCTTGGTTCTTTACGAGAAATTAGATACAAGAACAATGGAACAATTTAACAAACAAAAACCAAGCAGACAAAAACAAAACAAAACTAAAAACAGAAGAAAACAACAAAAAAACCAGCAAATTTCAACTTATGTACAATGTCATTGCTGTTCAAGTGGCCTGTTTTTTTATTAGATGACTAGTTGCTTGCCAGTGCCTATGCAGGGTGAAAAACAAGAAGCATCGCAAACTTCAAACTTGAACTGGAACATCTTTGTTCTACAAGTTGAGAGAATATGTATCTTAATATTGTTTGTTAATATTATATTATTGATATTATTTATTTATGGCTAATGGTACTATTGCTTTTCTTTTAATAGATTACTGTAATTCAGAGATTATGATGAGTGATCATCACGGGAAATTTTTTAGTCCGTTATATCCATTCCAATACCCTGCATTTCTCAAATGTGTATGGCTTATACAAGTTAAACAAGACCTCAAGATTTTATTGAGATTCAAGTAAGTAACAGATGTTTATTACAATGTAGTAGTGTGAAATGTCCATTAAGTTTAACTATGCAGCTATCAATGTCTTGCCACAATAGGGGGAGTGTGGGCATACATTGGCTATTGAAAATTGACTTTTGTTGAAACAGGGTTTCCCCTGGGTAGGGTTTATTGACATTTTGACCCAGGAGGGTTGGCTCAAATGTTGTAAAATGACAGAAAGGCAACAAGAGGTTGTGAAGAAGGTAAGATTCTTCAAGTATAAATGATGCCAACATGTGTGAAAGAATTTTGATACATACAGTCAATGATCAATGGATTTTCACAAAATGTATCACGCCCTGTGTTTTTGATAAAACTGGACCAACCTATGAAATATAGCCGAGGCATTAAGAAAGTTTCATATAGACTAAAAAACCTTTCACTCAGTTACAGTTACAATGGGGGGTATTTGACAAATATTGACATGAACATAAACCACCAGAATGGGGGCCAATCACAAAAAATTATGAAAAATGCCAGTAGCCTCTGGGTATGCCCACACTCCCCCTGTTGGGGCAAGACATTGATATCTGCATAAGAAGGGAAATTGCCTACATGCGAATAAGAAGAAAACACAAGCAGATTAACCAGCATCCCTTGTGAGTTTTATCACTCTATTTACTGATAATTCAGATTACTATTGATTTTCTTTTATAGTCTCAGTAGAGACTTTCGATGCCTGTATTCGCTACAACATCGTCCCCAGGTCCTAATCCCCAAAATGAAGGGATGACTGCCCAGGAACAAGGCTGCATTCGCTAATGCATCCATAACTATCAGTTTTACTCTTGAATGCCCCATGATTTAAAGGGACATGGTCCACCAGCATTCAGTGCAGTTGTGCTTTAGGGAAAATGAGGTATTTTTATTTTCAAACATGAGCAGAAACTCGAAAGGGATGCTGGTAGACCATGTCCCTTCAAGATGGCGTCATTTCGCTGAAAACTGTTTGTTGTTTTGTTTCAGGGATTTTGACGTTGAAGGTGATACTGAAAAGTGTCAAGACTATGTAGAGATATATGATGGTTTGGCTAGCTGGTCACCAATCAAAGGTCGATACTGTGGAGGCCACATACCACCTGTGTTCAAGTCGGAAACCAACAAACTTCGTGTTATATTTACCACCGATTCTAGAAAGTATGCCGGCAGAGGATTCGAAGCTGTGTATTCTGAGTACAACCAACAAAAAGGTAGTCTTTTTAATACTTAGTAATTATGTATTCATTTTTCTCATCCCAAAAACCGTTTTATGCAAATGACTTTGTTGTTGTGTTTACAGTTGTGTAAAAAGATAAATTTAACACCGTCCGTAAAATGTAGGTGAAACAATTTACTGACAAAGGATTAACGTCCGAAACGTCAGTAAGTTGTTTCACCTACTTCTTACATTGTTAAATGTATCTTATTGACCAGCTGTTTCTTTAGAAACACCGACGCAGCTCACACTAATTTACCGCTAGTTCCCTGCATCACGTTGTCTTTACAGGCTCTAGTGAACGTTAAGGAGATTGACTCAATGGGAGATACACACAGCCAAAAATTAACAGAATAGTAAAATACAAAATTAGGACACACGAAAAAGGAAAAAAAACATCAAACAATACATAACATAAGTATTTTTTTATGAAATTCATTTGTCGTTTCTTCGATTTGTAATTTCCATTTCACGTGCTCATTTCTAGATCAGCCTTCAAGTAGCCGTAGTCATTTTACTGGAATTATGATTGGTACAACATGCGGGATAATCTTCATTGTACTGAGCGTTCTGGCTGTGTTCCATGCGCGAAAACGAAGACTGCGTCGAGCACTAGAACAGCAAGTTGTGATGGGAAGTACCATCTCATTTGACGTCAACCTCGACCCACCTCCAACTTATGTAGCAGGTATTTCCTGATTTCATACCGTGGGAGACTGGGTAAAATCCCCTAATTTGCATTATAGTTCCCCCCTCTCATAGCGCTGGTGGAGATCAAGGCGATACCTACCTTAAAATCAGCGATTTCATTCCTTGTTGTAGGCCAGTGTTTGGGAAAAGGGAGAACCCGGTGATTTCTCTCCAATAGTAACCAATAATGTGAATTTCTATAAAATTTTCATTGCCACTGAGTTTTCATGAAATTCAGAATTTGATTTTGATGTTTTCTATTTTACAGTCATGAACTCCCCCAATTTGTTCCCGCAAACTAAAGTCGAGCATAACCGAGCGAGTACCTGCGAAAGTCTTCCGAAAGTGAACGACGAAGAGCTCGGTCTGCTCGAGTCGAACCAAGACTCCGATGAAGACGGACCTCCACCCCCTTATGAACAAGTGCGATTTGTTCATGGATATCGGCCAATACATGGTCAGTTTACAGTTGAATACCACAGGAACACAGCACCGGTGAGTTGACCTCTTGTATTCGACTAACAATTGTAATCGACCACCCATTCACATTGACCAACGGTCGCATTTGAACTATTCTTGAAATTCCAGTACAGGCATGGATAGCCTCGTTACTAGGAAAGGAAACATTGTGAATAGGCAATAAATTTACACATAGATTCCAGTCTAAGCTCGCTTACACTGGAATTTCGAGAATAATCAATTGCAGAGCATTAAAAAAATATACGAAGGTAAACGAAGAACTACGAAAATTTTTCTGAGAAAAAGCGAGTGATACCAAAGTTATCCCGGGTTATATTCATACGACTTACAATGCGTTAGTATATATAGTGGATTGAGCCTCGGAACGAGCCACTAGCCACATATAGGGAACAAAGAGTCGGTCAAAGGACAATGTCTGATCAAATCGTTTTGAGAACGGACGGTTTTTTTAAAGCTGAAAGATGTCATCGCTGGTCATGGCCAAAGCCACAATTTTAGAGAAAAATTTGAATGTTTGTATTCTGATTTTTATTCTTTTACGTTTATATTAAAATTATTTTTGTTATAAAATCACAAAGGGTGACCAAGCTGGAAGCAGTTCTCCTACGGAAAAATCCGAAAGTGAAAGGAGGGCTGGACGAGTATGGCAGCGGATGAGAGATCTGGACCAATCACATAGCAGTATAAGCAGATCGGAACCATCAGGGCTACCAAAGGATGAAGCGTCGAGACCCATGCTGGAACGGCAAGATACATGCAGTAGTTTTGTGACAGATGTTTGAATTTACTTTGGGATGCACTAAATGATCCGTGCTTCTAGTCTTCTCCGAACCGTTCATTTTAGCGTGCGATTCACTAAATCATCCCGCATTGCTCGAACGTTTGCTGGGAAATAATACTGATATTTTGAATAAATAAGAAATACAAAAGGTTAGATATGTGGACCTTTTGGCCGCCATGTCGGATAGTAGAAACACTGGAACATTTCCTTATGTGAAAGATAGAATTCYTCTGTTTTTATAATTCAACATGGCCGCYTTAGTGTAATGTTTCAGGTGCATCACGGGATACGATGCAAATAGTCCCTTGGTCCACCCTCATACAACGTGTAGATTTTTATACTGATTTTTTTCAGGATTCAAAKTTTTATGTATATTTAGGGATATGAATTGTATAGTAAGTAGTAATATTGTACATAGTCTGTATACTATTGTTGTATAAACTCACTAGACATGGCTTTTAAGTCGATTATTGGAATTCAAAKGACTTGGCCCTATCAAGAATTATCGATTTTTTTATATATTGGAGATATTTTTTGATATCAAGCTGAAAAAGCTTAAGTAATTAATGCAAATGTTTCGATATGTCTTACTTTGTGTAGGGCGTAGATATTATGAAAATTTCAATATGATGTAATTTATATATTGTGGAAAAGATAACGTCTGCATTCCAGTGAGCTCTCGTATTGCGGACGCCCAAATATTCCAAATACCCATTTATTATTACGGACACTAACCTTGCCAAGGAAAGCTTAGAATAACTCCCTTTAAAGCGGACGTTCTTAATTGTTCGTTTTAACGAGAGTTGACTGCATTAGAATAAATTATGGCTAAATTATGACTGTTAGTGAATATATTAATAATGCGAGAAGGTGCCTCTTTTAATAAGAACATTTATTGAACTCAGCTTTAAATTTGAATTTAAAAATGCATAAAATTTTAATTTGAAATGGTGACCATTCAAAATAAACTACATATTATAAGGTTCGAACTCTCATGTGTTATCTTCTGCATGTGCGCACATTATTTCTCAYTATTTACAACCTTTCACTTTCCGGGTCCAGGCCTGGCTCCCTTTCGACCYATTCGGTCGCTACGGTGTGTGACTCAATCTGATTGGCTTGTTTTGCACATGCGCATACGAGTTATACTGGACTGTCGCGAGTCCTGGAGCGGGTCGAAAGGAGGCCACGACAGGACTATTTCACTCCCAACTTGCGACACCTCTGTTAGGTGCTCTTCCTACTGAACGCAGTATTTTTTACCTCAAAATACGAGGGTTCAATGAGCTAAACTAGTTGGCTACTTGCAAGTATTGATGAAAGGCCGAAGTTGAGCATAGTGACCATGACGCGGGTGGGACAGCCTGCCGCCTTCCCAGCTACGTGAGCGATCACCCGAATTAGCTCTGACCTTACGAGTCTCGTTTCCGAAATTCTTTTTACTGTGGATAAACCTACCTCCATAAATAGCGAGTGACCACTTGTTCGATGAACACATATTCCCTAAGGACACATCGTATACACAAATGTCCACTCTAGAAAGCGTAAACCGAAAGACACCAAGCGTACTGTGGACACGTGTTGACGCCCTGGCTCCAAATAAACAAAAAATGATGTATAAAAAACTATCTCCGTTCACAAAACAAATATATTGTTCAGTTCTCCGTCTTCTCTTCTGCTTGCCTCGGTTCTGTGTATCCCCCTTTGGTGAACGCCTTAGACTTATAACAGAAGAATATAAATGAAACATTCATGTCCTTTTGGAGTATTCAAAACCGTGACAATTTTAGAAAGCATATAGAGAATTAAAAATGTGTTGTTTCTGAATGCAGATGCCACCTTGAAAGGTATAGCCGTGTCTTTGCAAGACGATTGAGCGTTGAGCATCCATTGATAGAAACCTTCGCACCTCAGTACAATTATTTTTTATTGCAAAAAAAAAAAGATCGTCTTGCTTCCATGCAAAGATCGAGAAACGGCTTCCTTTCAAGATGGCGCAGGGAACCGTGAAGGAGACTATCATACATGCGTGATATTTTGGCAGAAAAACACCGTTAATCTTATAAAATTCTTCGTTTTCAGGTTAGGTCACAGCGGCCATCTTGGGAGGAACTTCAACAAGATTTCTCATTAGTATCTATTGTTCATTCCTCCACCGTGGCCGCCGGACTTTTATCTTTTGAATCTCATCTTTGGAAATATTACGTGAAAATTTGTCAAAAAGCCTAGCATATGCCATCATGTCACGCGTTGTTTGTTTGTATCAGTCTTTCCTTTTTATAGTAACCATACTCCAATGAGGTTTTGATCAGACCCAGTCCCTTTTTTCCGTTAGTACAAAAACAAAAGTTTCGACTGAACTACCCATGATACCTCACGCGACAAGCTTTAAGCCTTCGCGGCTTACAGGTGATTCCTCGGTTTCCAAAAAAGACTGCTATTTCTTTCAAGCAATGATCGATCACCCGAACCATTTAGATTTCTGCAAGTGAAATACTATTTAGATTTTGCAATGACGTACTATTAAGATTTCTTAAATGAAGTATCTAGCCTTTCAGGAATTTTTTATGTCCATACTAAAATGATAACTCCATTATTTTTTCGTTTCACTGAGAGCATTGAAAAATAAAACACAAATACAAATAAAGAGGAATATCTTATCTCAAAATAAAACACTACAATGACACAGCTTTTCTATAACACAAAACCATCATTCATCATGGCCACAAATCAGAACAGTCTTATATCGACCATTCCTGCAATATTGGAGATTCAAAGTATGAGTTCTTACACCAGATTAGCCGTAAAGAGGCAGATCCAGTGGAAGTATGCAGATATTGTTACCACACCCTTCTATAACTTTCCATGAAACTCTCTCAGTGACTGAAAGCTGGAATCGCCGCACATAAACTACTTCAAGAAAGGACGTTCGCTATTGTTGAGAGAAGCCGAGCGAGAAGTCGACGCACAAATATCTGAAACACTTCGATTTCGACTTGTTTGCAAATATGGCAAGTCACGTGGCTCCACTTGACTGAGACGTTGATTTCTTTCTCTGCTACCATGGTTACCATATGTCACAGTGTCCATGTCATCATAGTAGGTTCTTTCAAGATGGGGATCTATAAATCCATTATTTACAATTCCAGGGAAGGGAGGAGGAGGTTCCTCTAAGTCTTCTAATTGTAAAGTGCAATATGATTGGCTAAGAGCTCCTGAAGAAGAATTCCCATCTGGTCGTGCATTGGAAGAATGGCCGCTGGCCTCTGATGCTCGGCGCAAGCTTTTGGTAGAGTTAACAGATACTATGGACGATCGAGGAGAAATTGGATATAGATGTGGGTTGCGTAACACTGAAAAAATAATATAAAATGACATGAGTTTATAAGAAATCAGCAGCGAGCCGTGAGCGTGATTAAACTTACCAGTTTCGTATGAAGGTGGAGCAGCACTAGCAATGCCTTCGTTATTGCAAACAGTGATACTAACAATTGAAGCTCGCTCTCTTCGCCTGCGTTGTTGTCGTTGCTTTCTTATTGAGCGTAGTTGAAGAAAAATCAAAGCACATGCCACAACACAAATACAAGACATTCCCATGATGACCAGTCCTACTTCTATGCTACCCAACTTAATTGGCGGTTCTACAAAGACAGACATAAGAATCGATATCATTTCAAAAAAACTATCTCAACTATTAAACCATAACACAGCGCGCCCTTGTGTTACATACGTTGAAATGCGTACAATAGATTATAGATTGATAGTACCTTTGAAGTACTTAGTTTAATTTATATTTCTGTCCGAACTGTAAGGTTGGAAGACGATTTGCGCTCGCTTTAAGTTATGTGTCCGTCGTCTAAAATGGCGCTTCGGCTCGCAAGGTACGGTGGTTGGTTGTGATTCTTTAAAAACCTAAAGACTCCTGAATGTGATTCATTGATTGGTCTGACACACAAGCCACTTCTTAACTAATCAATCGTTCTTTTTAAAATACCGTTTTAGGATTTAGCAGTTCGTGCTACTTAATAAATCCCATTGTTGGGCGTGTATGCATGGATGCATCGTTAACGTCCCCAAAAAGAAGCAAATTACAAGCTATCAGTTAAAGTCCGTTTTCTCAATTTTGTTCTTGTTTTCCAGTACTAAAGCACACATCGAGTCCTGCTTTTTGAATGCTCCCTGTGTATAGCACTTAATGTTCTTAGCTTTGGTATTGTTCGAAAGACTATATCCGATTTGTCAACTGTTTTCTCAACCATTCTGGATTCGTTTCCAATATCGAGTCAGTGCTAACTGTCCTTCGTCGTACAAATTTGGAGCATCAAGCCAGCGCATTGTGTTCAAAAGCCATATGTTAAAAAGACTAATACCATAACCTCTTAATAGATTCACCCTCCGATATGATAAATCGTCTCAAGCATAGGTCGGGTCCGGGACTGTTGTACGGTTTGCGCCATTTTAAATACTTTAAGATCATCACGAGTGCTCATAGTAATCTATATATTCAGAATCTTTATTAAAAAGATTTCCAATTCAATAGCATGCGATGGTACTGGTGGCCTTGAGATTTTTTTTTAGGTTTTTTATTTATTTATTTATTTTTATTATTATTGTTTTTTTTTCTTTGACGTCTTAAGACGTACGATAATAAATTGACTAAAAACGGAAAAGCTCAGTATTTATTGTGTGGAAAATAGAAGGAAAACAAATAACACTGAACAAAACAAAATCATCAAGCGACTTGGCAGCAGGTTAAGCGACGTGTTAACACCACAATATGTCGCACTTTGTCGTAACTTGCAATCAAGGTTTAATCTCCTACCCACAAACTGCGTCATCACTCCTTGGTCAGAAGAGCAATCATCGCTTCTCAAAAGAGCAATTTCATATTTATTAACGTCAATAAATGGATATTCCCTTGAGAAGGCCAATTATACCACAAACAATGGTCTTACGTCAAGAATGTTTTTATGATGCTTATAAAAACCAATTAAAACACTAGGGTAGTCATGAAGGAGCTCTTTGCCTGCTTGCTGAGCTAAACTTTATCTTGCTGCGAGACMAGAGTGTTAAATAATGCATGCAAAAACAGGAAATTTGTTGTGAACTTGAAGCATGACACCTGTCGTTTAGTTCTAGCATACGTGTACAGCAAGTAGTTCTTTGTGCGAGACCGGAAGGCTGTACGTCCTCTGAAGGAAAAACAACGAGTCCGAATGGAAAACATCAGAGGCCAGTTATACGAAGAGTGAATAGAGCTATTCACCAGTTAAATCTTTACCCAACCGGTACAATCCATCTACTAAATCTATCCTCATACAACTGGCCCTAAAATTGCGCACCAGCATTTGTTTTTTGTTTTTTTTTTATTTTTTTTGTTTGTTTTTTTTTTTTAGTTTCCGGTGTATTTCCTTAAAGAATAGTTAGAGAGCTGTTTAAACAAAAGAAATCGCAATGAAGTAGGATCTTTGCTGTAAAAAAATTAAGTCCTCTCAACAAAAACAATGCACMGCGCGCTGTTTAGGCTTTCGGCCTGTTTGACGTTGAAGTTTCAACGGTGACAATGTGGTATWTGATAGGATAAGAACTTATAAGCAAGAAGAATTGATTAATTAGAAACTAGCACGGTGGAGAATTTGGAAATGACGGCTCGTGATTTACAAATCTTTTCTTGTGTTCTCCCAGCCATCCCTCGCGCTTTACTTCGCCAGTAAACCGCTTCAAGCTATATCGTCTCGGCTGAAATAAACAGGCCCATAGGCTGCCTTGCAAATGGAGGGGTTCCTTTTTTCATATGCGGACTTAAATTAAATGTTTGACTAAATTAGTTCAATGCACAGATATAGAGTGCAAGCAATATATCCGTGCAACACTAAATTAAAATAGTGAAATTTAGTAAAATTTAGTGAAAAATAGTCGAAGCGTAAATATACTAAATTTAGTGTGCACGTGCAATTTAGTTGAGAAGTGCACGTGCGTTTATGCACACGTTGTCCTCGGAGCTCAACTAGCCAGCTACACTTATAACCATTACAAATGCTGCTGGAATTAGAACCAAAGTCTCATGCTAAAAAGGTACGTATCTCACAAACTTTTCCGTAGAAGCGATAAACTCCTTTTGCGGTTTATTTTCAACATCAAGCAAAGATATTAAAAGGGCGCTGTTGGTTCTTGTCAAGTACGTCAAATAACTCTGAGCTTTGAGCGATAGAATTCGTTCGAAAACACGTTGTTTACAGATATTTTTCGAGTCTTTACATTAAAAGTGCGTCTTGTCTTGATTTTTAGCTTAGACTTTTACAATAAACTCGTTAGAAAACACGTTCATATTGGTAATTTTTACTTTAACCTAACAATGTCTTCTGTCTTGATTTTGCTGCGACGCTGAGAATAAAGACTCTTAAACGCGTTTTCTTGAGTATTGTGTGGTTATTTTAGCTTTAGAAGTGTCTTGTGTTGATTTTGCAGCAGCGCAAATAAATAAAGACTCTTAAACGCGTTTTCTTGCGTATAGTGTGGTTATTTTAGCTTTAGATGTGTCTTGTGTCTTGATTTTGCAGCAGCGCAAATAAATAAAGA